CGAAAAAAAGGGGTTTATCAAGCAATGGTGAAACGGCAATTATACCATCAGATAGCGCAAGAAATTCTCTACAGGATGTGCTACTGAGAAGCAAGGCAGAATGAGTTTTTAATCAGCAGTGAATGTACAAAAAATAGGTGCACAAAACGCTGAGAACTTTCCGGACAACCTAATACACTGAAATCATAAGAGAATCAGCATCAATGTGGCATGCGGTTATTTGTGGGCGTTGGTGTCCACATTTGCACCTTTTAGGGCACTACGGCATTCTTGGTTGATAAGCACGATGCGCCTGCTTAGAGGCATTAATGTTCTTTCATGTTCTTTCTGTTCTGCCAGGCGTACTTACCTCATACATCTTGCCGATATATCGTGTCACTTACCTGTGAGTCGGCAGCAGAACCGCTTCGGACTCTTCCTCATTCGAAGTCACTATTGGAGGCCAGTCTTCTATAAGATCTTAGTTACCGCGTTATTATGAGACATTTATCCTCCGGTTCACTTGTGGATTTTTGACCTGGTTGCAGAACGCCTTGAAGGTTTTTTCTGCGATTCTTCTGCCAAGACCTATTCCTTCACTTTGAGGCAGATCGGCCTCGGTGTTTACCCAAGTATACTCTCCCAGAAGTGCAGGTGATCTAATAGACACTCATGGGCTGGTGCAGGCGCCCCCCCCCCTCCCCTGCCATTCGTACAGACTACACAATTTGGGGGGGGGGGGCAGAAACAGTCATGCAGCCGACTGCATTCGATGCGGTGTTCAAAATTATTGGGTAGCACTTATGCAATTGTCACTATGCTTCTACATTAAGCCTCCTCAGAATAATTATGCCTTGAAGACTTCTCACCACCACAATGGCAATGTTCACGCCGCTATTTCTGGCTCCGGGAAAGGTTTCAGAAGTCTAGTGACCACTCAGAGCAACATTTTCAATTGCCTGCTTCATTTTCTTTTAGGGAAGATCTCACTCATCCCATGTCACAATCCCACCAGCAGGCGACCTCTTTGCGACCAACATGAAGTTAGAAAATTAGGCGACCTCTTTGCGACCAACATGAAGTTAGAAAATTCTTATTTATTATTACCCGCAGCAAGCCATTGGAAGTGAATTCCTCCCTGCCTCAGTGATATTGCTTCATACGTCACTTGTGGTCAGATGCATTTAGGAATGGTTTTTCTTCCAGTAGAATTGCTGCTGTGTCGTGGTACGATAAAGGAAGCTGATAACTAACCATCTCCACTAAACCTGTAAATCGGTCGCCCCGGTTGCATCATCCCGGTTTTTCCCGAAGAAGATATTATTTCGGGACAATTTGCAATTAGCTAATAGTGGGTATTGTAGGTAGATGAACAGTTGCGCCTTGCAGGGTTTTTTACGTAGAACGATTCATTCTCGACCTAGGCCAAAAACGAAATCTTTCATCTAAAAAATTTCGCAATGCACAGAAGTATGATAGAATAGACCACCGTACGAGGTTATAGCAAGAGAGAAATTTGATACTTCAAAAAGGTTTGTAAGATCTTTCCTTGATTAGGAGTGGGCTTGTTTTAGAGGCATATTTCACATTTCGCCACAGGAGGACTCTTCACGGTCTTGGTGGTGAAACCTGCGGCCGATACATATTTACTAGTTCAGGCAGAGGGCTATGAGGTATATCGCTTTTCTTTTGCTGTACACCCTCTCTTGTGCACACGTTGCCCAACTCTTTGCCTGATGCCGCCCTCACAACCAGGTCCAGGCACACTACCCTTTCAGTATAGTGATATGAACAGTAATAGAGCGAGATATAGGAAGGGATACACCGAAACATTACCACTTGCTTCTCGTATGCCTCTCTCCTGTATGTAACTATGGACAAGACAATTGTAATTTGCCGCACTAGTGCGTGCATCGAGAGAAGCCGCGCCTGACAGACGAATTATCCTGTCTGGCTGTTTGAATTACGCCGCACGGGATGACGCGACAAGTTACGATTATCGTGTCCCATCTTTGAGGTCACTTTTATGGGATTTATTGCGCTCGAAGAGAACAAGATCTCTGGACACTTCTCCCGAGTTTGTGAGAAATGGACAGCATAGAATTCGTGAATACAATCTGAAGAGGTGTCGAACCGATCACACAATTATCCCTGGCGATATTTTGACTTCTAGTTGGAGTCAAGCATAGAACTCGTGAATACAATCTGAAGAGGTGTCGTCCTGTCTAGTGATATACTCCCACACCTCGAATTCTCACCTGATTGTGGAGAGATCTGTACAGCAAGTAAACAGAACAACGTCTCACCGCCAATACGAAAAAAATTTATTCCAGCATCATAGCAACTCTGCGTATTCCAAAAACGAATTGCTGAACATCTCAAAACTATGGTACATATAGTAACAGCATCACGTATTCTGACGGATGGTCCCTCAATCCTTTTTCTTTTCCACTTTCACCGATTGCGAACAAAATAAGCTGCCGCTTAGTTCTGAGAGTGGGCACTTCAGAAGGGGTGCTCAAAGTTCTTAGAACAACACACTTCCAATGGACACACCCTTCTGCTCATATAGGAGGTCGTGTTTCGTGAACCCTGTTTCGTGAACCCCGCATTCACTCACTGGGAAAATACAACAAATGCCACAGCAAGCAATGAAATTTCAAGGCAATCGATGAACGAAGAAAAAATTTGCTCATAAAATGTATTCATTCCAATATCTTTGCCGCTGATACAGGGTCTCCTAACGTAAAACTATCCAACTGTCTCTACATCAGGCAACCTAACGAACCGAGCCTTAGTCACCGTACCATATACAAACAATCCAAATTGATGAAACGAATACAGAACTAACCGGGAGCTATAAGTCAAATGAAAGATGGGTTTTGATCACAAGATATCATTTCAAGTTCAGATTAAAAGGTGAAAGAAGTAAGTGGAAAAAAATTGCGCTATAAGAAGATTAGGACAGGAATAGATGTTATGCATTTACTATCAACCCACTGCAACTCAGTTAGAAGACAACATTACGCTTATCCCTTTGCTTCCCGCGGATCTGATTCCTATACTTCGACGCTGCATCGTGTGCGGCCATCTAGAAAGAACGGATTACTGGCAAAAATGAAACTTGAACTCCAATAAGTGGGCGGAGCCGTCGGAGGCGGAGTCGCGTGCAACAATGGGAGCAGCTCGGCGACGGGGAGAGCATTGTTCTTTCACTGTTTAACTAATTTCGGTTTACAAGTCTCACGCTGGTAAAACCTGTGAACACTCGTAAGTTCATAAAATAGCTCTCTAGATGGTTTGACACGTCTGTGGGAAGTAGCAAAAAAGCAAAATTCCCCCTCGTCGCCGAACTGCCCCAACAATGTATGTGCAATATAGTGGAATTACGAAAATTCAGTGTAACTAGGATTTACAGTGTATAATGTGTGTAACGTAGGTGTAAATTATGTACAAAAGGCATACGTAGGTATGAATTATGGCAAAAGCGGGAGTGGCTATCCAGGGCGGGCTTACATTAATGTCTACTGAGCAGGGAACAATAGTACACTTCGCGCAAGAATGCGAAAAGAATGCTTCTCGAAAGATTGTCCGCAGTTTTATATACAAAAATAAGACTGCAAATAAGGTGAGTTACAGGCAAAGGTCAGACCACGGATGAGAATCGAACACGCATCTCCCGCTTACCGGCGGCGCCTTATTTATTACGCAAACAGCCATTGAGCTGGGAGAGTAAGAGCGGCCCCGTAGCGCAATGGATAACTCAACCGCGTGGTAAGCGGGAGATGCGGATTCAAGCCCCGTCCGTGGTAAGATTTTGCCCATAACTCAGCACTCTTTTGATAACATACGGATCCCACTGTTGTTTTAAACAGTAGTTATAAAACTAAAACGTCGTAGAAAATAAAACTGACAGAAACTGGATTGCATCGCGCTTACCTTCGCAAACTTGTTAATTTTCTCGTGCTGAGTCACATCTTGAACAGGTCCCAAGTCGAACAATTCACGCAACAACTCATTGTGCTGTAACTGCCGCACCATACCACCATGGAGGAGCTATAAACACCCGAGGTGAAATACACAGCCACTTTCTACACATTCGGAACACACCTCGCAGCAAAGGTCATACAGTAATTTGGAGGCGCAGGAATCCAGCACCAACGATTCACGATTAAACTTGACTGTTATTGAAGGCGTATCTTTGTCTACGATACTCGAGTATACTTGCCTTAAAGAGAAATTTTAGAGGAATTGACAAACTAAACTACTAAAAGAGAATAGCGTCACCTGAAGGTAAACCGTTGAGCACGCTTGTCCTTTTTTGCTCTGCCTTTTGAACCGTCGCTACAAAGCGCATGAAGTAGCTGAAATAGGAAGAGAATTCATTTATCTATTACATTTCAGAAGCCGAGTCGGAAGTATCAGTATGTGTACCTCAACAATCTGCTGATGGTTGGGCAGCCGGAACCCTGGACGAGTTTCTGCTCCAAGCTCGTACAGAAAAGCAAGCGCTTCCCCTGTAGCGATACGAATATCTAGCTGATCGGCTTCCAGAAAGGCAGCCAACTTTGCAAATTCACCAAATGCAGAATTTAGTGTCGACGCATCAGTGTTCTGGAATATTAACGTACTTCCCTTGCCGGTCTTCTTCATTGATCGCCCAAATTTGTTTAGATTGTATTTTTGTGCTTCACTTTTATTCATGTTAGAAAAAAAGAAACGCACTTAAAATGCCTCAGAAACCGCGTAGAGTTCAGTGTAAGGTGGAAAATGTAAGTTGCTACTACTACTCCTTCCAACCGATACGATCTGCTGCCATACGTACTACTAGTAGACCAGAAGGATGAGGAAGAAGTTGCATATTCTCGGAGTTTACCCCAAGCACTTTTACCATCACATCAACACCCCGCAGGTAACTGCACAACATTCGAAAAGTGAGATACGGGAATATTTTCACACCCTGGTTCACCTTGTCAGGCAAGATTATAAGTTCAAGAAAACGGACAGAATAAAGTAACCTCCAAAACTGCGCGTGCAACTGAATGCGTTGGCTCCGTATATGCACACATCTGGGTGCCTACGCACTTAGCTTTGCGTGCCGCTTGCTGTATGTGCTGCCTCTTTCCAAAAAGCGAAAAGGCTTGTAGCATGCGGCACTCCGGCCCAAGGGTTTTCACCCCCCCCCCCCAAAGCTTCGTCACCTGCTGATGCCATCCTTCGAGAGAACAGTCTGTTCGCTCACAGCATCTGGAAGTCCAAACCAGCAAGCGCTTACACCTTAGACCAAGAAGAAACTCAGCAATACCTGCAGTAATAACGTCCAGCTCGGTAAAGCAGTAGTGAACAGCCGTGTTCCCTGGGCGGTTACTTTTATGCCTGCCCATGTTGAACGCAGTGCCTAAAGAGGAACAAGAAAAACGTGAGAAAAAGTGAATGTGGCCCCAAACCTCAACAGAAAACACAAACCTTTATACTAGCAGATATGGACTCGTCACTTACAGAGGCAACGTGACTAGTAATCGCTATGGAAAGAGCGCACAATGCTCGCAAACCCTCCGGTCTGGCCGGGTCCGTAACAAGAGTGCGTAGAATTGCCAGTGGCTCCTCCACATCAGAGCTCATTTGTTCACCTGCATGAGCATGAAAAAACTTGCTTCCATATGTTCGATAACCTATCTCATAAAGTCAGAAGGAAATGATAACCTAATTGAAGCGAAATGAGAGCAAGAAGAACTGCCGACACGCCTATTTCTTCGTCTGTCTTCTTCAGATTCTTCGTGATGAGTTCAATAAGGGTCAACCTCCACTTCGCAACGAAATCCGGGACATACTGAGCACACAGTGCCAGCTGAATATGTCTCAGTGCTGCCATTCGTATTGAAATACTACAATATCCATTTATTTCACTTTTCCATGTACCAACATTCTGTGTTTTTGTAGTATAAGCAAGAAACAAACTTTTTGTGGCTTGCGTTCTCAACGTGTTCGGCAAGGGAATCGAGGAAACTCGGAGCGTCAATATCTTCCATGTCATCCCCTAAACCTTTCATTATAATAAATCATCAAATTCCCACTGAATACGACACACCCTGTACACTCTTCATATCATCATCGACTGTCATATGCGACGCAACCGACTCTTCGCTTTCGCTGTCTTCTCCACCTGAATAAGATCACAGAGAGTATAGTTGAAGGAAATATTGCGACTGTGTTTACACCTTGCGGCAGCATGCTAGCGTCTATTAGGGTTTCGAGCGACTAGGAAAGTACAGGCATCGATCCAGCGCCTTGGCGTTCACCAGCGTTTTGTGCGTCCGCCAGCGTTTTCAGCGGTGATCGATATCTTTCTATGTCGTTCAAAAGGCTTCAAACACTGATGGATGCCCAAGACGCTCGATCGATATAAACACTTTCGTAATCGCTCAAAACGCCTGAAACTTTGACAAAACGCTACCGCAAAATATGAACGCTTTTTTAGTGCTCTGAAAACTGAGCCATCTCTGGTCCATAGGTGTCCTTAGTGGGGGGAGGGAAGCTGATAAGTTTGACAGGTGGTCAAAGGATAAAGGATATAGTCATTGCCGTTAAAGACAGCTCCCGCGATAAAAGTGTCAAGGATAATTGCTGATCAATTATGAAACAGTAGCTGATAAGTAATTCCTCAATGAAGGAAAAAAGAAACAAGAGCCCTCAAGAACACCATAAACAAAATCGCGACCTGACAGTCACACCTCCCTGCGGTCTCTGTGCAAGCCCTGGCTCACAAATCACTTTGTCACATCTCCCAGTAGTGGATATCATCGAATGCGAAGAAAAAGAAAACAAAAACAACAGAAACATAGAGGAAAAACTCTTGAAAAGAAAAGGAAACATTTAAAAAGCCGGCGTCCGAACTTAGGGTTACGGTAGCGAGCATGTTTTAGTGTAGTGAAGTGCGTCGAGCTTTTGCACCACAGAAATTGCATCATTCGTGATTTTTACGCGTTTTACCTTACGAGATGGGTTGCTGTTGACTGTACGTGCTCCCAATGAATAAAATGTGATGAAGGAGAGCAGAATTATTTACGAGCACGAGCGCGGTCAGCAAAAAATACATGCAGTTCCGATTAATGACTGCCGTCCCAACAAGGAACAACTGAGCGGCTCTCCGTCAGAGGGCAGCTAGCTAGTGAGGCGGTCCAACTGAGCAGGCGTTAGAACTAGAACTTTGAGCGGTTCTAGCTCGCTCCTCGCTCGCTGAGGAGTCGCGAGAGTGAGATAGTATCTAGCTTGGGGGCTGAACTACCTGCCAAGGAAGGACGACCATGTGCTATTCAAGCGCAGGGGCTGTCTTTAAACAATCTCGCTTCGGGATGCGGCGTGCACCTTACCTCCATTCAGAATAAAAGCATGCTGATCGCGATGGGGCCTATACAATGACTTGTGGGGGGCAGCTGATGAGTCAGTATTTCTATCTCCCGACGAGACGAGTCCAGTTTGCCGTCCTCAGAGGAAATAAGGCTTGGTTGGCTTGGGCGGAAGCCGGTACAGGATTTGATCCCCTGGACACTACTTCACCCCCGCCTCAAGAAAAGGAGTAGGAGTAAGGGGTAAAAAAAATCGTCGGCCTATATCATCTGAGAAAGAAACAGTAGTTCTTCCGCTGGCCCAAAACACCTGCTTCTTGACCAGTTTCTAAGCAGTCCACGCACGAACGCACGTCCCGCGATCAAAAATGGTGGGTACTGGGACTCGAATATTAACGTGAAGGTGGTGATTGAAAAGGCGAAGAAACCTTCCAAGAGAATAAGTATGCTCGAATGTTTTTGACACTAGAAATATTGCATTTCTCATACCTCTTCGTCTACGTGACGGTCCTGAGTACGAGTCTTTCTCTTTATTCTTGTTTCGTCCTTTCCCCATTTTGCCCTGAAGGAAGACTTCCATTTAGAAAAACATAAAACAAAACAAGATGGAACAATTTGACACGTAGACGTAAAATGAACGTTTACAAATTTAATCAATAGCAGACATGAGCAGCCATAAAGTACAGTTTAAAAAAGCTGAAACAAACAATCGCATTTTTCCAAATGAACCATTATCCATTCTTTTAATCTAGGCATGAAGATGTTTGCACAGATAAGCCATGCTAGTGATACATGGAAACCAGTAAAGAATGAACGATGCAAAGACAGAAGTAAGCTCGTCAAGAAGTGGTAGGGCTGTAAGATCTGACATTCCAGTGACGAAACGATCGCTTAAAGTCTGCACTCCAATCCCACCGAGAAAGTTGGATGAAAAGAAGGACACTTTCTTCCGCCACCTCTTCCCCCATTCCGTATCCTACCTTCCATCTTCCTAAATTTTCCCCTTTTCCTACCACATCTCCATTTTTTATTAGCAAAAAGGAATGCCACTGAGTGAAGGAAGGAGGAGACGATGTACAGCGTAACCGAAACAGGAAAAACAACAGTACAGTACATATTCCTCGAAGGCGAATACGAACCCCCCCCCCACCTTGCTGGGAATCTCCAACGTACAACGTGCCCCGATGAAAAGCCTTAAAACATAAGACAGCGGAGAGAACCTCATCAGTAAAAATGAGTTGTTCACGCAGTCCAAGAAAAGCCGAATCGAATACCTGTGGGTAGTCTTGGACGCATTTTGGACTTGATGCCACTGGGAACGAAAAGCTGGGTACCTTCGTTTTTTGTTGTCTTTCTAATGATCACTTGTTTTTTTAGTGGCTCAAAGCTGAATAAATGCTTTTGAACTGTTGAAACTGCTATTTCTTGTCGTTCCACCCTTATCGGTACTGAGATTATATCCAAATTTCTGAAATGCTGTAGGTTACGTAGTTTATTTGAACCTAGCGTGTTCCTTTTTTGCACCTTCTTAAAGCGGAAAGCGACAAAAACTAGCCGAAAGAAGTAAAAGGAGAAAAAGGTCGGCGCTACGCAAAACCTTCATGACGGCTAGGCTGCGTTCACACCTTGCGTCACCGTCCTTCGCGTTCGCAGGTAGTTTTGCTCGAGTGAAAAAGTGCTCGCGAGACGCTGATGTACGTTTGTGGACGCTGGCGTTTGCTGGATCTATGCCTGTACTCGTGGTCGCTGCCGGTTTTAGACATTGGTGGACGCTGACAAATATGAACGCAGCCAAAGGCTTCTGTTAAATGCTTTCGCTGCGAATGTCCAGAAGTATTTTCTCATCGATCTACCGTCCCAGCAGTTGAAATGAGACGGAAAAGAAGGGTGAGGATAGGAGGAAGGAAAAAAATAAGGAAGAAACGGGCTGGCGCCTCGCTCAATCTGTCCTTCCAGACATGCCCATTATTCCTAACGAACTAGACTGAACGCACAACACGACCGAAAAAGGGAAAGGGAAAACAGCGACGGCACAGAGGGAAAGTCTGATGGAATAGGAAGCAAACAAGAATGACTGAAAGATCAAAGGTCTAGTCTTGTTCACCACAAAGAAGCGATTTAGATAAGAATGTTCGACAGCAAAAATCAATAAACTTCCTGAGTGCACTTGGTGGGGCTTCAACAGTGAAACAAGTTTTCTCTGACATCGATCTAAACACTAAAATTGCGAACTGCGAAATATACTAACCAAGTTACAACCAAGAGAACGACGAGCGTTTCAAATTTCCTTGCGGGAATGGCACAAAAAAATATCCACGTATTTTGAGAAACAGAATAAATACGATTTGGCCTGTGCCGCATTATTGTGCAATAAAACAAGTTCCACATCTCATTACACTTTGTAACAGAACGAGCATCCATTGGTTGGAAGACTACATCAATCAGTTTCTGCGAAGATAACAGAACGGTGTTGACTAGACAGTTCAAAGAACGAAAGAAAGTAAGCTAGGTGCCGAAGGTAAGGAATATGAAGGAAACCCCGCTTTTCCAGAACAGATCCACACGAGCAGATGAAGAATGGTTGCTACGCAGTAAAGGACAAGAAACTATGGAAATTCCAAACTGAATTTCTCAAGAATTAACACATTGTCTAAAGATGGAACTCTGTTCTTGGATAGGAAGATGACTAATGATTTTTTTTCAACGTGGAAACAATCTTGAGGAAATTTCTACGACGATTCAATACTGCAGCCAGAGTTCGCGATTGCATCGCTCGACAGGATTGCGGACGGCAGCAATGGGGTCGCTTTAAACCGCCAACAGACCACGTCATACGATGGGGAACCCCCAGCCCCGATTTGGTGGCTGTGAGGAGGGGGTCGTATTTATTCGTTGGGGATGGGGAAATGGGGGAGATTGCATTTCCTCTGAGAAAAAAGAAAATCCCAGAAAAACTGGAAAAAGTAACTGGAACTTGGGAAAATCAAGGGGAATAAGTAGGGTGGGGAAGGAGGAGGACTGTATGAGAGGAGGGATCTGGGGGGGGGACCATATTTTCTGAAAATTTCCCCCAGCGGCAGGATGTGCCCTGATGCCAAAACTGTGCACCGGCTCTGATCAATCCGCCGGTCGTAGGTCTCCTCCGACTTCCTCGCGGCGATGCCAATCGCTGCGATACGATCACGAAGTTGAATACCGCAGTTTGACGTTAAGGAATCAGCAGCGCGCTCTGTATCCTTCCTCAAAAAAGGCCTTAGCCCCTGAGAGTTTACGACCAAAATCGTCGAGAGGTTAGTCCAGAGGGGAGGACGTAGCTTGGTTAGGAGGATGGATATCGAAGGGCTGGTTAGTGATACCCCCCTCCCCCCGCAACTGGCGTTGGCAAACAAAAGAATGAAAGAAAGGAAAGCCATATCAACAAGGTGAGGTGATGGAGTTACAGTGAACTTTGCCCCTGCCGCCACTTTCCAACCAGCAACAGAGGCATTTGGATGCGTAGTTTCGCGTCGACGTTGCGGTACTTCCAGTTTTTCTCGTCACGGGATGAGAAATCTAAAGAAAATTCACGCAAGTGTTCGAGTTTTTTCATAGGACCGCATTCGGCGCTGGAAGATGTAAAAAACGAGTGTGATCCAGGTAAATAAGTATTGTTGTTCGAACCTTGAAGAGAAGTAGCTCTGGTGAGGGGGGGGGGGGGCGAGTCATTTCCCCTTGGTTGAGGCACAAGCTTTTTTTATAAAAAAAAACATGAAAATCTCTGACTTCTTGAGCAATAAAGCAACAAGACTTTGGGAACCTGTTTGTGATATACACAAAATTAGGTCCTAATGAGGCTCCAATACAGCATAACATTAGAAAGGAATTCTCTGATCTTTTATGGTGAAAGCAAAACACCTGTAGTGGTCTCGATTGCCTTGGATGCACTCACCAAAGGAAATGATTATTCTACGTTCATACATTGCGTCGGCATTCTGAACGTTTCGGGAGTACGCCAGCGATTTCAGCGACTAGGAAAGTATACTGATCGTTTTAGCCTTTTGAGCGATGCTGGCGATTATCAGCGACTGCTCGAAAGTTCAAAATTACCCGCGAAATGATCAACACGCTAGATCGAATCTATACTTTCCTCAAAACGTTGCCGTACGCTCACACCGCTGATGCGAAGTATGAACGCAGCCTTGCATGCCCAGTGTTTTTCTTTTCAGAACTTTCTAATATGCGAGTGTTTGCTGAGCTGGGCAACAGAGGATTACGAAAGAGAAAGGTGAAATTGAACGCAACGTAAAGCAACTGTCTTGAAATCTTTTGTCGCACTTAAGGTATACAAAATACCGACCAGAAAACAAAAGCGAGACGAGATATTGAGTAGGCCTAGCCACAACAATGCTGTCAACAAGATGGTGTATTCTGCACCGATCAATAAAAGGGGAAAACTATCTCCTCTTCAGCGCTACAGCTAGACGTGTCATCCATGACCCGCACTGAATGGACCATGGGAGAATTCACACAGTGGATCTGATACATATCGATCAATGGAATCGTTGAATTCGAAATAGGATTGCAAATGGTTAGCTCCACCCGCTAGGCGTTCTGGGGAAAAGCGGCGAACAAGGGCGGAAATGAACAGAGGGAATGAGCGAATCAGGATCCGTTTTTTGTGGCGAATGTGCCGGAAATCTTTCACGGGTTGTTTCAAACACTGTCTCGGCGAGGAGGGGGGCAGAATGGCAGCTTGCCGCGTAGTCCCCTCCCCCTCTGCAATTGCCTTAGCACCAGATTAAAGCCTCAAACAGTGCTAGTGATACGGATACTCTCTCGGTACAGATTTTCAATGAGGGAATGGAAGTGGAACGAAACAATAGGAGGGAGTGACTGGGGGGACTGGCGCTCCGCCGTCACGACGCGTGCGTGTCGCGATCGCGTGCTGTTGACGGTCCATCACTGCTGAAGTGGATTGTCAACAAGAAAAGCGCTGATAAATTCCTTCTGAGCTCTGCGTCTCGTCTGATGATAAGCTATCAGCAGTCCTTTGCTGTCGGTTGTGCTTAACCTGTGATGGGCGACTTTGTCACGCGTTCCAGGAAAGTCGAAACGGTACGTTTCGCAATTTTTCAGCTGTTGGCTGTTTTTAATGTGTCGTTGACCATTTGCCGGCTTTCTATGGATTATTTCCTTTTTTCAACATGCATTCTCAAAGGAAGGTCCTTTGATGGCGCTTAGGCTATCTATGCTATTCTGATACGTTATACTTTAATGATTAGAAGAATGAATTAATGATTAGAGCTAGTAACATTGTCTACTCCGAAATGCCGAATGCCCCCAAACAGGAATAAACTACTACGATTATCAACTCTGGAGTCTAGACGGAATGTTTTCGATCTTTGTTTAGTTCACAAGCTAATTAAAAGGGCACATGGTTCCGGTTCCAATCATGTCTTCAGAATGGTTCATTCGAACACTAGAGGTGGTCCCATGAAAATCTATTTGTCTAAACCTAAAACTAATTTACGTGCCAAAAGTTTTACCTTCAGGGCGGGCAGCTCGTATTTGAAATTAACAAAAGCCGTTCTGTCACATGCT